ATATATAATATGAATGCACATATATTTGTACATTATGTATGTATATATATATATGTATATCGTGTAGCGATACCACCCCGCATATTCGAAATGCTGCAATCGCACAAAGACATTTGTCGTCGCTATGTGCGCACCTGCAAAGAGATCAATATTGCCTTTTTGGCCTATGAAGCGCAGGTATACTTCTCTCTCACTCTCTCTCTCTATTTCTATCTCTGTTAAATAATCAATTTAACGAAGCATTTAACATTCTCGCTTATCGTTGCTCGTTACACGTTGCAGTGAGTTGTCTCTCTCTCTCTCTCTCTCTCTCTCTCGCTCTCTCTTTCTGTTACTACTAATGCAACTGTGCCGTAAATCGTGTTATGTGCTACACGGAAAATATATTTTTAAGCGAATGCTTCTGACAACTAACTGCCAAAACTGGGTCGCATACAAGCCGCATACACTGTACAGTATGATCTGCCTAAAACGAACTACTAATTTATCAATTTGTTTTCAAAACTAGATGAAAAGAGTAAAGAAGATCGCCTTAGGCAGGCTATACTGTATTTGCTTTATTATTTTGTTGTACTTGTCCTAGCCTCTTGTGTTTTATTGTCCACATTTTATGGTTTAATTTATACTCGAAACTCGATCAAATTTAGTTTACTTTTCAGAGCGTAGCACTAAGCAATGGGTAACAAACTATAAATCCAAAACATTTATATCTATATATAAAGAAATGAAACATGCATTACACTTACATAATAAATGCCATATACTATGCATATTCTGTAGCTAAAAAATAGATAAAAGTAAACAAAAATTTAGAAGAGAATATCGTAAATTTGAGCTAAATTTGATGTGCGTATAAAAATTATAATTATAGTTTGCCCGGAGGAATTATTTAACGATTTGTGTAAATCGTGCGCTGCAAGAAAGATCAAAACTCTAAAGGAGATTAATATTGCATTTCTACCATATGAATGCCAGGTGCGCTAAACAAAAAACAAAAAAAAAAAAACAAAAAACAAAAAGAAAAAAAAAAAAAAAAAAAAAAATATATAAATAAATGTTATATTAAATGTTAAGCGTGTGCAATATACAAATACTCTATACCGCTCTTTCCAACTATTAAACTATCTATCTCTCTCCCTCTCTCTGTCTCTTGTACATTAGACAAAGTCAAATTTCCCACTATTTGAAGGCATTAAGCAAGAGCGTTAACTAAAATTCTAAACCCAACGAATTTAATATAAGCTAATAATCTAGCTCTTTCTCTTACTCTCTTTTCTGTATCTCTATCTCTGTTGTACATAAGTGATATCGCTTTATATATAGACATATGCCTTATGGAAGAGCACTATCTTAAAGTTAAGTCCGAAGTCAAGTCGTAGTTGAGGTGGAACTCTCTTTTGACTCTCTCTCTCTCTCAATCTATCTATCTATCTCTACCTATCTTGTACATAAGCGCGAGCCATATTTTCGCTTCTTATAAGCAACAAACATTATTTTGAAACCAAATCTAATTAATCTATTTCTGTCTCTAGCGCTCTCTCTCCCTCTTTCTCTATCTCTCTCTCTCTCTCTCTCTCTCTCTCTCTCTCTCTCTCTCTCTCTCTCTCTGCCTCTGTCTGACTTGCTCTATCTTGCTCTGCCTACTACTCAACACTATTCAGTGTATACTTGGGTAAAATCAGCTCATTGAGATGTACCGGCTCATTCATTTTGGCTCTCTCACTCATGAGCTACCCAAGTCTAATTCAGTGCTCCTTAATGTTTCAAACCCTCTATATTTCCCTTCTCTCCCTATCTATCTGCCTAAGCATCTCTGCCTTGCTGTATATGTACCATATGTGTTGTACTTCTATTTGTTGTAATTACTTACAAACCAACTAACCAATACACAAGATCGCTTTCAAACACTGTCCTGGCCAAAGTGGCTCTCTATCTCTCACTCACAATCTCTCTCTCTCTCTCTCTCTCTATCTATCTGTATGTGTGTGCGTAGAACTATTCTGAGCGTAAGCTCCAAACTTGAATCTCCTTAAGTTTTGTTAAACTTGTTTTGTAGTGTTCAATTTAATGTATGTGAATTGTATACAGAAAAGCAAATCGTGCCTAACCAAACACTCAATATCAACTAATAATAAGCAACTTAACAACAAATCACAATAACTAATAACAATGAACCTAATGCATAAGAAACAAACTTACTCGTCGATCCACTCACAATGTGACTAGGCACGTTTAAGCGACATTCGTTCGCGTTGTCGCTTACTCGTTATTCGTCATCTTGTGATGCGGCGAGTACAACTCCCAGGGCTAAAAAAAATCAATACACAAATGAAAATACCACATATATACCACATATACTAAAAAAAAAGAGAAAAAAAACTATATATATATATGTATATATGTTATATATTAATAATCTGTAAATGTAATTGTTTGTCAATTGGTTGCGTGTTCTCTATCTATTTGTCTCGCTCACTCGCTCATTCTGTGTAAATATGTATGTCATTAGCTTTTAAGTACACTCTCGCTCACTCTCTCTCATTTGTCTAACGGTCAGCATGCTGAGCATCGCATGTCGCTCTCTATCTATATGTGTCTCTTTCGCTCTCGCTTATTCGTGTTATTGTGTTGAACAATGGTAAACAGCAAGCAAATGAATTTATATCTAATTATGCTTACTAAAAATTATTTCCTAAACTTCATAATGATCAAAAGTTACGGCAATCGATAAATCGATATACTATGAAACTTACATATATCGATTAAATTAAACCTTGTTCTTACAAGAACTAATTGATCAAAAGCGAATAATGAATCATCGATAAATCTAAATAATTTGATCGATTTAAATTCGATAGATGAATATTTAAGCTAAAAAAATATGTAAGGTTCATACATTATACATGTGCTACAGATTTTTAGCTCTAGTCATATTTAATTAATATAAATTGAACTTATCGACATTATCAAAAAATGAAAGAAATCGATAAACATTTGCTCGCTGTACTGCACACACCAACACATATGCACTGAAAATTGTAACGTAACTAAACGAGAATCAGCTTCACGTACATACGCATACATACATACATAATATAGATTCGATAATAAATTCGATACATTCATAAGAATTCGCCAAAAAGCTTACAAGTTCGCCCAATTAATAGAGAACTCCTGGGTGTGTGGGTCAATTGAACCGCCTCGGCCTGTTCGCCCTTGTCTTTTCTTTTCGTTTTCTCCTTTGTGTATTCGCCGTAGGTCTTCTCGCTGGATTCGCCGGACACTTTCCAATGTCTGTATTCGCCGGCGTTCGCCTCGATACGCGGCAAGCACATTGAACGGATCGCCGAGCAAATCGCTACGCTGTGCGCCACACTAGGCGAATATCCGAATGTTCGCTATCGCAGCGACTGGGACCGAAATATCGATTTGGCTGCATCGGTGCAGCAGAAGCTGGATGCCTATAAGGCCGACGAGCCAACAATGGGCGAGGGACCGGAGAAGGCGCGCTCCCAGCTGCTGATTCTCGACCGTGGCTTCGACTGTGTGTCGCCGCTGCTGCACGAGTTGACATTGCAGGCGATGGCCTACGACCTGTTGCCCATTGTGAATGATGTGTACCGCTATTGTCCCGGTCCCAACCAGCCGGACAAGGAGGTGCTGCTCGATGAGAACGACGATCTGTGGGTGGAGTTGCGTCATGAGCATATTGCCGTTGTCTCCACACAGGTCACCCAGAACTTGAAGAAGTTCACCGATTCCAAGCGCATGAGCTCCAGTAAGCTTCCGACTCATCCCACTCTCTAATTAGTTGGTCAATATATAGCTGATCATAATCTACTTTATAGCTGATAAATCGTCGATGCGCGATCTCTCGCAAATGATCAAGAAGATGCCGCAGTATCAGAAGGAGCTATCCAAGTATTCCACCCATTTGCATTTGGCTGAGGATTGCATGAAATCGTACCAGAACTATGTCGATAAGCTGTGCCGTGTCGAACAGGATCTGGCCATGGGCACCGATGCCGAAGGCGAGAAGATCAAGGATCATATGCGCAACATTGTACCCATTTTGTTGGATGCGGTGAGCAAAGCCACAAAGAATCACCAAATCATCCTTGGCTCTAATCTCGAATTGAATTTCCCATTTTCAGAATGTTTCCAACTACGATAAGGTGCGCATCATTTCGCTCTATGTGATGATCAAGAATGGCATCTCCGAGGAGAATCTGACCAAGCTCTTCACACACGCTCAGTTGTCAACGAAGGATCAGGATATGGTGCGAAATCTCAGCTACCTGGGCATTAATGTTATCGCTGATGTGAGTGGAGTTTAACTGAAATAATGCTCTGGCAATTCCAACAGACTTGATTCGCATTGTTTTACAGTCACGCAAGAAGATCTACTCGGTGCCACGAAAGGAGCGCATCACCGAAAGCACCTACCAAATGTCACGCTGGACACCAGTGATCAAGGACATTATGGAGGATTGCATTGAGGATAAGTTGGATCAGCGTCACTTCCCGTTCTTAGAGGGGCGTGCACAGAATACCAATTATCATGCACCGACTAGCGCTCGCTACGGCCATTGGCATAAGGATAAGGCACAGACGCAGGTTAAGAATGTGCCACGCCTCATCATTTTCATAGTCGGCGGTGTGAGCATGTCGGAGATGAGATGCGCTTACGAGGTGACCAATGCGGTACGTAACTGGGAGGTGATAGTCGGCTCCTCGCATATCCTGTCGCCGGAAATTTTCCTCAGCGATCTGGGCAGCCTCTCCAAGGAGGATTAAGTACAGTGAAGCACATCTCTTAGCCAGATCTGTAATTTGTTATTCGCAATATATCGACATATACACATA